TCATATACATAGTATACTATTGCGGTTTTTTTACTGTGCGTATCTTACTGTATGTACAACACTGTAGCATACAAGAAAGTTTTGTGATACTGTAGCAACAACCTGTTGCAACAAAGAATTCTTTTGCACTGTAGCAACACTGTAGTTGATTGGAACTGTGGCAATGTTGTTGCAGCAAGAAAATAAAAAAAGTGTGATTTACTGTAGCATTTACGCTGTAGCAAAAATACTGCAGCAGTAAAGATTTCTTTCGACACTGCAGCAACACTGTGGTGGTTGAATTGTAGAGGGGTTCTGTCGCAGGAAAATCTGAAATTTTGATTTTTACTAAAGCAAAACACTATAGCAGGTATTTTGAAATAAGTTTTGTGTTTTTTATTTGAATATGGTTTAGCTCTAATAACACCATCGTTTTCAAATACATGATATTTTATTTTTGATTAAAACATCATGGAAACAAATAAACACGATGGTATCTAAACGGGGCCTTCACTATTTTATAGGATTCTTTTGTTCCAGCAAACAAAAACAAATAAAACCCTTCTCGGGTTTGGGCTCCAAACTCATACCCTCAAACCCGATTGCAACCCTAAATTTGCTGAGAACCGTCGATGTTGATCCTACGACCAGTAGAAACCAAATTCACTCTATTTAAAACCCTAGAAACTCCCCTATCATCCTCCACTCTCTTTGATTGCCTCCGCCCTCAAACATCTCTCTAGATGCAAAGATATTTTCAATTCTCTCTACACTTTTTGATCTCTCGCTAGGGTTCTATCTCGACTGAATGTTTTTTTTCCCTTTGGTTCTGATATCTTCTTAGTGTTTTAGTTTCCGCATCTAGGTAGCTGGTTTATTACTTAATCATGGTGTTCTGCCTTAATTGTAAATATATGTTTGTGTGAAAAAGATTGGATCCTTAGGATATTTTATAGGAGTAGAAGAAAGCATCCTCGCTATGTTGAAGGTTTAATCTTGTAAAGCTGTTTTCTTTTCACCGTTTTTTAAATTGTATTTAATAACTTCTAACAAATTTTGATTTTTAAGTAATTATTAAAGTGTGTATAATTTTTTCCTATCTTAATACCGATAAATAGTGTGATGGTAGAGTTGATGTTAAGCTTTATCATTTGTGATTCATAGGCATATTTTCTGAATTTTGAAGTGGATCAAAGCTTCCGAATTGTAAATTTTTCTGATTTCTTTAGAATATTTTCTAGTCTTATTTTGTGTTTGTAAAAGCTTGAAGTTCTAGTGATTAATTGTAAAACCCCTGAAAATTTAGATGTAATGTTATATGATGATAAATATCACATTTTAATATGTGAGTATGTTGGGAATTGATTTGAGAACAATTCAATGTATATATGTGAATATACGAGTGCGAATACGAATCCGGTGAAATGACTAGTTAAACGTTTTTGCATTTTACACACTGATAATGTTATAATCTTGAGTCAAAGTTGTAGGTATATTCGACAGCTTTCTAACGAATCATTAATCAACTCATTTCGAGGTCGTATGAGAAAGTTATAGCCAAAACACAGAACACTCATATACATAGTATACTGTAGCGGTTTTTTTACTATGCGTATCTTACTGTATGTACAACATGTTGGAAATTTATCAAATAATTAAGATTATAGCATGAAATAAATCCAAATAAAATAAACAATTAAATCTGGCCTGATCAGGAGCAGTCGTGTATCCACTGCCCTAGAAGATTGAGGACCCGCCTATCGCCCTAACGCAGATGATCCCCTCTCCCCTAGCGGTAAAAACCTCTGGAATCGGCCGACCTCTGTACTCGGGCGAGAGTACAGAGCTTCTGCTCAGATGAAGAAAGTTGCCCAAAAACAAAACCAATACTATGAAGAAATAATATGAAGAGGAGAGAAGATTCTTGTTGTTTTTCTTGTTGTTTTTCCGAGAATCTGAAGGGCTGCTTATATAGGGGTCTTAGAGAGCCGTTACAAATCCTAGCAATCAATACAGTAACATACGCCATAATGTCGACCGTTACGCAATAAACCCGTAATTAATACGGTAACGTTCGCCATAATTATATAGACATTATGCATGTATTAATTGCCGAGGAAAATAAAATATGTAAAACATGTTAAATTGCCTTTTCTTTAATAAAATATCCAACACAACACTGTAGCAGCCGAGAAAGTTTCGTGATACTGTAGCAACAGACTGTAGCAGGGGGTACTGTAGCGGGAAAAACCGAAAATGTGTTTTTTTACTGTAGCAAAACATTGTAGCAGGTATTTTGAAATAAATGTTATGATTTTTATTTGAATATGGTTAAGCTCCAAAAACACCATGGTTTTCAAATACATGATATTTTATTTTTGATTAAAACATCATGAAAACAAATGAACACGATGGTATCTAAACGTGGCCTTCACTATTTTATGGGATTCTTTTGTTCCATCGAACAAGAACAAATAAAACCCTTCTCGGGTTTGGGCTCCGAACTCATACCCTCATACCCGATCACAACCCCAAATTCGCTGAGAATCGTCGATGCTGATCCTACGACCAGTAGAAACCAAATTTGCTCTATTTAAAACCCTAGAAACTCCCCCATCATCCTCCACTCTCTTTGATTGCCTCCGCCCTCAAACATCTCTCTAGATCCAAAGGTATTTTCAATTCTCTCTACAATTTTTGATCTCTCGCTAGGGTTCCATCTCGACTGAATGTTTTTTTGTTCCCTTTGGCTCTGATATCTTCTTAGTGTTTTAGTTTTCGCATCTAGGTAGCTGCTTTATTACTTAATCATGGTGTTCTGCCTTGATTGTAAATATATGTTTGTGTGAAAAAGATTGGATCCTTAGGAGATTTTATGGGAGAAGAATAAAGAATCCTAGCTATTTTGAAGGTTTAATCTTGTGAAGCTGTTTTCTTTTCACCGCTTTTAAATTGTATTTAATAATTTCTAACAAATTTTGATTTTTAAGTAATTATTAAAGTGTGTATAATTTTTTCCTATCTTAATACTGATAAATAGTGTGATGGTAGAGTTGATGTTAAGCTTTATCATTTGTGATTCATAGGCATATTTTCTGAATTTTGAAGTGGATCAAAGCTTCCGAATTGCAAAATTTTCTGATTTCTTTAGAATGTTTTCTGGTCTTATTTTGTATTTGTAAACGCTTGAAGTTCTAGTGATTAATTGTAAAATCCTAAAAATTTAAATGTAATGTTATAGAATGATAAATATTAAATTTATATATGTGAGTATGTTGGGAATTGATTTGAGATCAATTCGATGTATATATGTGAATATAGGAGTGCGAATACAAATCCGGTGAATGACTAGTTAAACATTTTTGCATTTTACACACTGATAATTTTATAATCTAGGAAAACTCAAAAGATCAAAGTTGTAGGTCTCTTCGATAGATTTCTAACGAATCTTGATTCAACTCATTTCGAGGTCATATAAGAAAGTTATAGCCAAAATACAAAACACTCATATACATAGTATACTGTATCGTTTTTTTTACTGTGCGTATCTTACTGTATGTAGAAAACTGTAGCAACCGAGAAGGTTTTTTCGTGACACTGTAGCAATAGACTGTAGCAGCTAAGAATTCTTTCGCCCTGTACCAACTGTAGTTGATTGGGATTGTAGCAATGTTGCCGCAACAGGAAAATAAATGTGATTTACTGTAGCATTTACGCTGTAGCAACAACAATGCATCAGTAAAGAATTCTTTCGACGCTGCAGCAACATTGTGGTGGTTGAAACTATAGCAGGGGTACTGTAGCGGGAAAACCAAAAACGAGATTTTACTGTAGCAAACACTGTAGCAGGTATTTTGAAATAAATGTTGTGTTTTTTATTTGAATATGTTTTAGCTCTAAAAACACCATGGTTTTTAAATACATGATATTTTATTTTTGATTAAAACATCATGAAAACAAATAAACACGATGGTATCTAAACGGGGAAATACATGATATTTTATTTTTGATTAAAACATCATGAAAACAAATAAACACGATGGTATCTAAACGGGGCCTTCACTATTTTATGGGATTAGATTAAAACATCATGAAAACAAATAAACACGATGGTATCTAAACGGGGCCTTCACTATTTTATGGGATTATTTTGTTCCATCAAACAAGAACAAATAAAACCCTTCTCGGGTTTGGGCTCCGAACTCATACCCTCAAACCCGATAGCAACCCCAAATTCGCTGAGAACCGTCGATGCTGATCCTACGACCTGTAGAAACCAAATTCGCTCTATTTAAAACCTTAGAAACTCCCCCATCATCTTCCACTCTCTTTGATTGCCTCCGCTCTTAAACATCTCTCTAGATCCAAAGGTATTTTCAATTCTCTCCACACTTTTGGATCTCTCGGTAGGGTTTCATCTCGACTGAATGTTTTTTTGTTCCATTTGGTTCTGATATCTTCTTAGTGTTTTAGTTTCCGCATCTAGGTAACTGCTTTATTACTTAATCATGGTGTTCTACCTTGATTGCAAATATATGTTTGTGTGAAAAAGATTGGATCTTTAGGAGATTTTATGGGAGTAGAAGAAAGCATCCTCGCTATTTTGTAGGTTTAATCTTATGAAACTGTTTTCTTTTCACCGTTTTTAAATTGTATTTAATAATTTCTAACAAATTTTTATTTTTAAAAAAACTACAGTAATATTTTTATATATGCTACGGTATCCCGTTTCTGTCTAAATGTTATATTTTTAAATACTACAGTAATTTTTTTCAAAAATGCTACAATACCCATTCCTGCAGTAATATTTTTAAAAATACTATAAAAATTTACTATAACATTTACTATAACAGGAATATTGATTCTCAGGTCCTTCTTTAATTATAGAGGAATAGATAAACAGAGGACCAATCAAAATAATTAGAGAGACGAATATGTTGATTGACAAAAATCCTATTTTTGACTGGCGAGCGAATCGCATTTGCCCCGGTTCACATGGTTTTTGGATCAGGCAATCGGGTCATATCCCCGATCCAAAACCCAACCAGTTAGCTACGAAAACACCTAAAATTCCCCAGAGAGCAATCCTTCGGTATCTCGAGGGCATCAATGGCTGCCTCCTCTCTTCGAACTCGGAGCTTCTCCATTGCTCGCCTCGTCGCACCGAGCTCGGCTCAAATCTCTCATCAGACGACCAGATCTCTCTCCTCGGACGCGCTCGTCGAGATCAAGCCCGGCGAGATCGGGATCGTTTCCGGGATCCCTGAGGAGCATCTCAAACGCAGGGTACAGTGATCCTCTCTCTAATCAATCTATTTGATTCATTTTTTTCTGAATTATCCAGTTCTGATCTGTTACGTTTTTCTTAATTATGAATCTTAGTCGCTTAAAAAAATTGGTGACATTTGAGCTGTTGAGTTGTTTTTTCTCTTATAATCCATTATTTTGTAAAAGCTAGGGCGAGAGAAGTATATAATATTCGTAGCCAAAATTTTCATTTTGTAGTTGCTTACCATTTATTTGGGAACTTGTACAAGAGAATTTGGAGGTTGTATGGATTCAAAGGGAAGACTTTACAGAGTTGCGACTGAGAATTGATAATTTGAGTTCAATTTCGAGGTTCAACCTTAACATCTACTTATTTTGATTTGGACCCATACTACCTATATCAGTTTAGTTTCAAGCAACTGTGTGCAGATTATTTGGGGGGTAAACTCAAGCTATCTCCTTAGTAATGACTCACTCAGAATTGGTTGCTCGGCCAAATGTAGGGGTGTGTTTGGTTTGGAGGTGTTGGAATTGTAAATGCCTTTACAGCAACATGTTGTTCCAACTACATGTGTTGGAGATGCATTTTACTGTTTGGTTAAAATGTAGTTGCAACTACTCTTGTTACAAAACCCATGTTAAGCACATATTTTCAGGATTTGGATCCTCTCCAATTAGGTGGTAATTGGAGAGTCTCCAATTTCTCTAACCATTACCATATATTCTAAATTCAAGGAACAAGATTAGGCTACGAGATGAAACCACTATGATCTTGAAAACCAATATTTTTTGAAAGCCACCATTCTTTGAAAACCACTATCACAATGGAGAAGTCCTACGAGGCATAATCTCGTCCATTGAATTAGAATGTACGGTAATGATTGGATAAATTGGAAACTCTCCAATTACCACCTAATTGGAGAGGATCTAAATCCATACTTTCAACAACTACATTGCTAGTTGTTTGGTTGAATGTTTGTGTTGCAACAACAATGTGGATCCTCTTACCGTGGTAAATTTACCTCCTCTAATTTGTAACAAAACTATAATAAAAACATAATACATTAATTATTTTACACTAAGAACTACCAAATGCAATAGAGAAAACATGGTCATAACTATCACTTAGCTTAAATTCTTAGAACAACCATAACAACAGTGCAGTGAATTATTCGAAAACCTAAAAAATTAATATTCCTTAGAAAAACAATTTTCTGGGCTTGAAAGCACCAGTTGTTAAATAATAATGAAAAGCAAAATAGCTTCCATAAATACTAGTCTATAATGCTAAACCAAATAAAATACTGTTCTAGAACTTGAGCTCATATTGAGATCGATTTTCCATTATTCCACTGCATGCAAAGACTGGAGAAGCTCCTATAATGATCTACAGATTAATTACATTTATTAATAAAGATAATCAGATCAAAAGGAGAATAATATATTATAATTAAAACAAGCACCAACTATGTGATTATCTATATAGTTAAAGAATTGAATTCACTCATCCAATTGTTGCCGCCGTCATCTCCTTCATCAACGCACTTGTCGATGTTCCCTTCTTGACATCCTTTTATGCCACATGCATCTCCATGAGTTGTACTTCTGCCATTGTGATCTCCATGATGTCCATGTGTACCCCTGAAGCCGCTATTCATAAAGCCATCCATTGCACCAAATAATCCACCGGTGAAACTTGTATTTTCCATGAAAAACTCATGCATCCACCGATAACGCATCTGAATAGTAAGACTCAAGAATCCACAAGCCTTATACTTATAGCCGGCTTGCAAAAAATGTTAATATGCTGTTGGCTTCAAACCAGTACCATGATAATAACATAATTACATAATAGGGTTTATCTGTGAAACCCAATATGACATCTTTAGTCAATCGCCGTAGCAACATTATCCACTGCAGTAGTCATCTTGTCCATGCATTGATAAGGATCTCGTTCATTTCGCTTCCTTTTCTCTTTTCCTTTTTGGGAAACATGTTGACTCTAGGATTCTGTTGCGGCACTTTTAGATGGATTATGAGAATTTCTCTAAAATATCTACACCATCTTCGAAAATAGGCTCAACATTAATAAGTAAAAATCATGTAGAATTTTTATCGAGTGCCTTTCCCAAAGTTGTGAAGTGTCTTTCATCCAAGCTTCTGTTGGATGATCTCCTCCAACAATCAAGCACAACTCCTCGTATTGCTGTATTGGCTTATTTAGATAAATCTCATGGGCTTTGTGTACTAGTAAATTTAAAGTTAACGTCAATAAAGAGCATTAAAATGTATGAAAATATACTTAAAAATAGAATTTAGGTTAATTGGTTACCGCAACATAACCTTGAAATTCTTTTTGACTAACAACGAATGTATCCTACAAGTAAGGGTTCGAAGGTGACTTCGTATATTACCTTCAGTTATGTTATACTTGGGATATTTCTTATTAAGCTCTCGAAGAATTACCAGTCTTCCAGTTATTTCTCACTTGGTCAGCCGAGAATTTGATAAAGAATTTGCTAACATGTGGAGCCGACTTGAATGTCTTGTGCTTTCCTTCATGAGTGCTTCCGTCTACAACTTTTATATCATTTGGTTGCATATTCTCTGATGTTGGCATGTTATTTATATCCATCTGACATTAGTTAAAATATTTTCACAAAGAATAGATAATTAATTTCCATCTGATATTTATCTTTTTATATCCATCTAATATTTAATATGCAATAATGAATGTACACAGGAAGATGAATGAACTGATTACCTCAATAAATAACTCAATATAAAAAGATAAAGATATAACATTTTCATCAATTGTTCAAATTAAATATAGAGTTATACAAATGGTAATTGCGCTCAATAACCAAAAAGTACCAACAAAACTATAAAACATTCATTGACTCGTTGATTATTGATCCACAAGTCATTTGCCATCCGCTCTCTATGAGAAATCCACTCTGCATTGATGCCTTTCTCATTTACCCAATGACGAGGGCCTCACAGCTTATGCTTCTGTAGGACCTAACTCATCCCCAACTTGGTTAATAATATAATTGTGACATATGCGACACACAAGAACAATGTCTACTTGTGATGGAATGGGAGATAAGGGTCATACTTGATTATTTTAAATCATCCCTTAAGAGAACCAAAGGCTCTTTCAATTGTAATACTAAGCGACGAATGCCTGTGATTAAAGGGCTCTTTGACATTATTAGGTGCACGATCGCTATATACTCTCAAGTGGTATCGAGCATCTTGATAAGGAGCAATAAAACCTGGTTTGATGGAATATCCAACATTTACAAGATAATATTTTCCTACAATATGACATGTCAAGAAAAAGCTAACTACCTATTATTTTTAGTTTATGTCTAAGATAGAAATAAGTAAGTTACATGTTGCAACTCTTCCTTCTCGAACGCACTACTCAACACCCATGAATCATGTGCAAAACCTTCCCAACCAGCTAATATATAAGTGAACTTCAAATAAAAATCTACACAAGGTAAAACATTTTGGGTAGTGATAGGTTTTCTCCCACAAACAGTAGCATGTATATACAGGAACAGTAGCATGTATATGAGTGCCATCAAGTGCTCCAATACAATCCTAAAATAAAATATAAATTATAATCTTATAACATTTTTTTCTATTGCTTATTTTAAAATAATCATTATTGTTAAACATGACGTTATCTTGAAATATGGCTTGAATCTATGGCTCGTTAATATCTTTGGGTGCGGGATATTCTTGGGGAATTGATGATCTCATCACGTAGCTCTGCAATTGCATGCAAGACATGATTAAAGTATCTACTAACAGTATTCCCAGATCATTTAAAATTGTGCCTAACTACTCTGTTTCTCACATTGTGGCCTAGTGTATGTAGGAACATTGCTAATTGTTCGTCAGCGGTAACATGAAAAGTATCCCACAATAGACCTCTCCTCTTTAATGTTTTATATAGTTTTTTAAAGGGGGCTCTATTCATTCTGCACATATGTCTGCAATTAGTGTCAAGAACATATTATGTTTTCTAGATATTTCTTTTTAGTCAAATGTCTTGTAGGGTCCTTTTCTTTTTAAAGCCATCATTTTAAACCATATAATGGACATAAATGCACTCATCATTATTGTCATAGCTGCAACTTCCCTCTTCTTAGAGTCTTGATTTGGAGGAATAAATGTAGTTTAGCTGGAAATAGATGATAAATGCATATACATCAATAATCAATAAGAAGATAAATATATGATATAGTTAGATATCAAACATACTTGCATCCACATAGAAACAAAAGTGCGCAATATGTAAAACACTAAGAAGTGACAATAATCTACATAAAAGGAAAACTACAATTTCACTATTTAGGATAAAATTTGAAATACAAGGCTACACGCAACAAAAAAATTCTAATTATCGTGCACGATTCGGACGGGGAAGAGTTTAATCCAGAATTTATCAATCTCTTTTAATATTTTTCACAAGTTTAGGTTCACATATTACTCAAAGTTGTTGACTTTTTTCCTTTGCTTTCGACTGCCTACAGTTGCTTGCTTTGCTATTTCTTCATGCTAAAGATGGTTCCTTAAGCCTAGAAAAGGGATTTATATTATTTTTTGTTTTATCCAAAAGGAGACTAATTCCTATAGTTTTAAGTAATCACGAGTCCAAATAATTCTAGCTTCAATCAAGAAAATATCAAATGCAAAAGAAGTAACAAGTAACAACAATATTTTATTTCAATTCACTACGCATGAGATATAACATTGTTATATTTAACAATGCAGGAGACCTAAAACTAAAATATATATATTTCTTACTTTTTCCTCTTGACCGATCATTCTCGGCAATGTTATATCAGTAACTGATATCAACAATGTTCTAAGAAAAGGTTCTATAACATTACCATTTTCTTGACTGATCGATCTCGGCAATGCTATTTTTTATTTTCATGTTCATTGGCTGATAATTCTTAGATAGTAAAAATTAGATCAGAAAAATAAAATTTAGGGAAAATACTGGAGATAGAATGTCTTTCTCTATTTCAGAAGCACAAAGAAGAGGAGAAAAGAGCATAACAACTTTTGTTGTTACAATGCAGCTCAAATCGGGTGCTGTTGTAACTACCATATTTTGTTGTTGCAACAACTCTTAGAAGTTGTAGCATCATCAATCCAAACACGTGGAGTTAGAATGTTAGAACCATAGAAATCAAGAACTCGGGACGCTATAGCGAACCACCACCCGGTTTAATCGTCCTAGATTCTCATGAAACACGACCCGATTCACCAACTCCAATGACCCAATTTAAAATGCAAACCAGTTACAATTCAAAAAAATTACTCTTTTTAAAAAAACAACAAAAAATGCGAGAAATTAAGCAAATAAAGTATGCATGCCTTATTGCAACTTGATTCTAAAGGTGCATTTACCATTACTGATATGTACTAAGCGTATTTCTTAAACTTGACTCTTGCAATACCTTTAATTCCTACATTTAAGAACCGAACCTAAAGTGTACCATATACTCTATCGTACCGTATCAGCTACCCCCTTCGTACACGATTTCTAATGAGTGGTGTACCACGTTGCCATACGCGTCCCTGAACCAGAAAGAACCATGATCTATGCAACTATGGTTTTACATAGAGGTCCAACACCTTTAAACCAAACACACCCTAAGATGCAAACACAAGATATTTAGAACAAATATATGATTTCTGACTCTCTCCTTTTCTATTAGGGGCTGCTTGGCTCATAGATTTGCATTTTGGATTTATGACAATGTCATAAATTTAAGAATTCACATTTTTTTCAAAATTTTACCTTTTTGTTTGGCTGTTAAGGATAAGAAAAGTGATTATCCTAAAACTTTTTTGTTTGGTTCAATTCAAATGCAAAATGTTACATTATGATTTGTGGCCCCCACAAATGATTGGGTTGACTTTCTTATTAAAAAAATAACTACTAAATACTAACTAATCTAACTTAGTATTTTTCTTTAAGCTCTGTTGAATCATAAAACTAGAAGAAGAATACTCTCAAACTTTTTAGCAACAAAATTCTATGAAGCACACTGTTGAAAAAATATAAAATTTTGTCATCTAGTTAACCATCTTTACAACCAAATTGCTAAAAAAAATTTTAACTGAAAATAAATGATTAGCAAATCCAACTACAATCTACATTTTTAGACAATATTGCGGATAAACTCATCTTTTCCATATATGTGTGTGCGTGCGCATGCGTGTAGGTGTAAAGTTTTCCTAAGGTGACACCTTAGATTTAATCTAAGGAAGCACCTTCAAAACCACATTATACGCAATCAATTTACTTGACCTACTCCATTCATTTCGATCTAGATGTCTCAAAATATCTATAAAATAAAAATCATGATGTTTCAATGCTTCTAACCCATCATGATTTTTATTTTATAGATATTTTGAGACATTTAGGTCATAATGAAAGGAGTGAGTTAAGTAAATTGATTGCGTATAATGTGGTTTTGAAGGCGCTTTCTTAGATTGAACTTAAGGTGTCACCTCAGGAACACTTTTCCCTATATGTATGTGTAATGATCTCATGTATATTAGTTTCAATGTGTGTGTGTGTGTGAGAGAGAGAGAGAAAGGGGGGGGGGAGAGAGAGATGAGTATGTTTGGTACTAAGCACAAACTTGATGCTTGATAGTGAGGTGGATACATCTCAACCCCACATCTATAATTGTAAAGTATAAGCAGAAAACATGTTACATGGGGATGTATTTTCTATCTAATTAATCTCACTCATATCTATGGTTGAGATTCATCCACCTCGCTCTCACGCACCAAGCATACTCATATCCTTCATACATATAGGTACATATATACATATATTGATTTGATAGGTCCTCATTATGAATTGAAATAATATATATTTTCAAATACAAAATTATGCGATGAAGAATCTTAGGAAAAATTGCCATCTATTAGTTTAATAGGTTAGCAATTAGCATTACATGAGTTTTGTGGCTCAACACAACCACTGGAAAGTGAGTTCTCAACTTCTCATTATTCATTATAGAAGACAAATGTCGTTTTGTAATTTGCACTTGTTGGTCTTAAGTAGTTCTGCATGTGAAAACCGCACTGTTATAAATAGCGGTAAATAACCTCGTAATAGCGGCGCTAATAGCATTAGCGGTCTCTTCCCGCTACGCTATCGCCCAACAACGGTGACATATTGCGGAATATGTGCTTTCCGTTCCCAAAAGCGGCCAATAGTGTGCAATAACGGCAAATAATGGGCAATTGCATACGAAATCCGCTTTTTGACTGCTATTTAAAAGTGATTTGATGTTTATTTTTTTAAAATTAAACTCGACCCTTGACCATTGCATTCCACCGTCTCCTGTGATTTTCGGCATACTCCCGCCACCTCTCATAGCTTCTGGCACCTATCTCAGTTCTTCCTCTCACCTCCTTTACCGTGAGCTCCTCTTAGAACAGTCCTCTTACCGCTCAGCTCTTTTTCTCAAAGACGACGATTCTTTAACTCCTCTAGTCATCTTCGGTATTACGTGTTGGTTACATGTCTATTTCATGTTTAGGATCTCTTTAAATCATTAAATATGTACTTTTAGGTTTTTTTAGATTTTTCTTTAATCTTTCTTTTTTTAGTATTTATACATATCTAAATTAGTCCGCTATTTGACTTTGCGTTTTTTACCGCTATTTTGTCGTAATACTCAGTGTTATCGAGGCGCATGGCGCAATGCGGGGCACAAAGGCCCCTTACGCGCACCATGCGCGCACCTCACTGAATTGAGGCGCACAACTCAAACTAATATTTTCCAACGTAAGACAAAAAAGCATATAAGCAACATGTTTATAAATTGTCACATAAAAAAACTAAGAAATATAATTTCACCTACTAAATATAAGCAACATGTTTATAAATTGTCACATAAAAAAACTAAGAAATATAATTTCACCTACTAAATCACGAAAGAGTCTTAATTAGCATAAATTGTCACATAAAAAAACTAAGAAATATAATTTCACCTACTAAATCACGAAAGAGTCTTAATTAGTATGCATAACATAGAGAAGTTCATAAGTTTTTACAAATTACAATGCAAGATATCTCCAACATAAGCAAAAGCCTATGAAACAAAACAAGCAAGTAACAAATAAGAAATATGTATTTTTATTTAAAATTGATATATGTACTTTTAAGTAACAATTAAATGATTAACAAACATGACTATTCATAATTTTCTAGATAGCATTCTTAATTGCTATTTACTAGTTAACATGAAAAGATGGAGAATGGAGATAATAATTACATCTTTACATGTTCATAATTTTCTAGTTAGCATGCTAATTAGAGAAGAAAGTTATAGTTAAAAAACAAGTATACTAAATTACTAATTAATATTTCTTTTTTATAGGTTAAACATGAAAAGATGGAGAATGGATTAGCAACTAGTAAGAAAGAGTCTATTACATAATGTAAATATGTAATATGTAAATTATTTTTAAAAAATAAAAGAAAGAGCCTATTACATGATGCAAGTGTCAAGCGTACATGAGGCGCGAGCGAGGCGCGCACCTCGTGTGCGTGCAGCGCCCCGCCTCTGGTGCGGGGCGCAATTGCCCCAACTCGCAGCGCCCCGCGCCAGGGGCGCGCGCCTCAATAACAATACTTAGCGATGCCTCACCGTTACGCGACGCTATCCGCTATCGATAACCTTGGAAAACTGACATTTCTTAGCTTATTGAACCTAACTGTTCATCAATTTTGTTGCACCATCAACCCAATGAAATAAAATAATGAAATACTCCCTCGTTTTAAGTCGAGGCTATAACCTTATGGTTGCTCAACACATGTTCTTATACTTTATTCTATCTTTATGAATATAATTATATACATATAATAACATACTTTCACTTATTGTAGATTTGTACTTATCAATATGTTGCTAATTGGATTTGCAAAATGAATCATTATATTTAAGGAGGAAATAGTAAAACTTCTTCATTTATACTCTAGCATGTTCAAATGGTTTATGTGGATCTGCATTATGTATGTCCTGGCCTTTCTCTCTAATTCTTATGCTAGGCAGTCCTGAAAATCATACAAGAAGTATGCGATATTGATGGAATATCCTTTTTCTTTTGAAGGATGGTGGTGAATTATGTAAGCGTAAAGCACTATTCTATTTCAATAACATTATTTATTTCTCAGAATAATTATGTTTCTCTTTTCTAATATATTAGTACCTGATAAGTTGGGAACACTTCCATTTACCCATTTATTTACTGTATATAGAATAAATAAAGCCCGATAATGATACCCTATTCTATTTATCTTTGATATTTTCAAGCAGCACAAAGGGGCTAATAACTGAAAGCTGAAAAATCCTGCATATTATTATATCAATAACTCTTTCAAATGAAAATGGGGAGAGTATTAAATATGTATGAAAATTTTCTTGGTATGACAGTAAAATAAAACAATTGCTGGACTTTATTGTGATTATGAGAATTATATCTAGATTCCTCTTGCATGGTTCTCTATTAGTAGTGTTGTTTTTAAAGGTGGATTTCTTCTATTGGGCAGTTAGCTAGTTATATAATGTCTATGATAGGTGAGCTTTTGCTATCAAGTATCAACTGTGCTTCCCGTCTCTTCGAATGTTCTTGTTTTGGACACCCTTCACGTTTTATTTGTTCTTTTCCTGACTGCATCACTAACCTCATGACATATCATTTGTTAGGTCATTATCTATTCTCCAGCTCGAACATCATCTCAGCAGGGATCCGGAAAAGTTGGAAAATGGAAGATCAATTTTATGTCGATCCAAAAGTATGCCAACTGTTCCATTTTCTAGATAGTTATTATTTTGAACTTCAAGGATTGATGTAGGTTTGTTATCTTTAAGGTTCCTAAAGTATAGCATATTGTATCACATGTTTAAGGGAGGATGCTACTTTTGTTTTAGGCCTGTTTTAAAGTTTGCAGTGTTTTAAATGTTGAGCATTGCTTCCAAAATCTTTGGTTATTTTGAACCTTGTTTCTGCTAGACACTCTTGTATGTCTTCATAATCTGTAAGATAATTTTATCAATAGTAATTCATTATTTTTTTCACATATCTTTTCCGAAACTGTGGATTTATTTCTAATGAAAAATTCAAGAAAAGAATTGGGAACTTTACTTATGTCATGTATGTTAATTATTGATTTGTGTTGGGGTTACTGGTTAACACGTAATCATCTTGGAGTCACACTTCATGTAGGGTGATACTGATCAGTGATTACGTGAATGACAGATTTCTTTTAATAAATGATATAATGACCACTTTGGTTTATGGAATATCTATATTGGTGGAGAAAGTATGCATACTGATGCTATCTCTTAAATGAACTTGATAGCAGACCACTAGTTAAAGTGCCCCCTATTCGTCAGATCCCTTATATATAAAGTATAGTCTTAGAGAATGGGGTGCAATGTGTGAGCACGTTAGAAAGTATGAGAATATGCTTAACCTAATTATGAGAAATTAGGAAAGCCTTCAGCTGCATGTCTTTTGATTGTATTCTTTTGGAATCTTTTATCTCTGTGGTTGTCCAAACATATGCCCGCACAAACCAAGTATGCATATGCATGAAGATATCCGAAAATTTATTTACTTCCAGTTTAGATCATTGCATTTTAGTCAAGTTGTTCAGTGCAGACATTTGGAGATTGGTGTGCTAGGTTGAGGGCTCATTACAGAGTTTCTTAACTAAACTACGGATATTTCCTTTGTTTTATCTGTTATCCTAATCTTTTTAGTTTCATTGTAGGCCTGGTTCTTTTAACTTGTTAGGATCATGGTACTTCATCACGGTGTGTTACCTTTGAGTTCATCTATTTTTTTGGCAGTGTCATCCACCTTTGACCAGAATATTAATTGCATTGCCATAGCAATTAGTTTTCAGCCTAGTACATTCTTTCTTGATTTTATTGAAAACATTGCATCCTGTTGCATTGTTAGGCTATATAGTATACACATGATGGTTATGGCAATTCAAGTGACGGCTTAAGCGATATTTCTGCCAGAGCTATATCTAACTATCAGGTCACTTCAGTAATTAATTAAAATTGGGAGAGTGGAATGTGGTGTGCATTGTCAAGTAGTTGAATGTCAAAATGATATTTCTCCACTGATACCATGGAGAGTGAAGCTAATCTAAGTAGGGAGCCAAATTTTAATCCTCCCCCTCACCCTCCCCCCATTTTCCTATGATTGCTTATTTGACATCTCCATCCGGGACTGTAGGCTTGTTATTTATCTATGTGGCAGATGCTAAGAAACAACTAATGATATTCTCTCATTATTATTTTCCACAAATTTTTGATGTGTTTCTGCAACGATCCTTCTTGTCACGTATGCTCCCATATGTGCACCAATACAAACACAAACATGCACACATTTACATGTGCACACTTATACATACAGCTGGCAGGGATGTGCTAGTGAGTTTTGTATGAATAATGTTGCTAATGAGTTTGATGTGGATAATGCTTTTGCCTTGTGCATATTTCTTTTATGTAGATGGGAAAATCCATTGATGGGATGGACCTCCACAGGAGATCCATATGCTAATGTTGGTGATGCTGGACTTGCTTTTGACAGTAAGGAAGCTGCAAAAGCATTTGCTGAGAAGCATGGTTGGGATTATATGGTATGAATACTTGATCTCTCTTTTACTAAATTTAGATAAGCATAAATATTTTGAAAGAGAAAATTTATAATGTCAACAACATATTAAAGATGGGAACCGGTGTTAACTATGTACCGCTACACTTTTCTACATAAATTTTCTGGAATAATTTGTTGATACTTTTGACCACTTGCTTTTCATAACTCCTTGATGAGTATTAGTTGATACATCCATGCTTTATAGATCTGTAAAAGGTAGATAAACATGAAACAGAACTTTCATCTTTTGTTCTTCAATTTCCCTTAGTTCCATTACAAGTCAAAACAACCATCATCATCGAACCTGAACTGGTTAAAACTTTGAGCATTAATTTTGGAATATAAAAAAGTAGAAAATAGATAGTGGTCAAGTATACTTTTAAAATTTTCTCTCTTTTCTTCAGCCACAGGGATACAAGGATCTTATTTCCTTTATTTTAATTTTTTGATTTATCTTTTTAATTCTAAGTAAACAACGATCTTCATTTGGTTCTACTATACATATATAGCTTTAAATAGAAGCCTTAGTTTTATTTTTACATGCTATCACGTGTTTTCCTTTATAATTCAACCCTCTTGTGGCCTTGCAAAACACGAATCCATTTGTACATACTGCACGATCTAGCATTATGACCGTGTGTTCTTTTTTGTACTTTGGCGTTAGCTCATTCTTTGTTTCAGACCAGGATTTTGGATCCATGTATCTCCAAGATACATCCACTCTTCAGTCTGCAATTATCATCATATTTTAGACATATGGATCCCATCTTTGTAAATTTAACATATTGTGGGTTAATTACATAACTTTATATGGTTCTTGTAGCTTTTATTACCTGTAACTAGATTTTCAGATCCATGTATCTCCAAGATACATCCACAATTATCATCATATTTTAGACAGATGAATCCCATCTATGTAAATGAATTAAATAACTTGTAGCGTTTATAATCTGTAACTAGATTTTAAGAATTTGTTTTGGAACAGGTTTTTGGATCCATGTATCCCCAAGATACATCCACTCTTCAGTCTGCAATTGTCATATCATATTTTAGACATATGGATCCTATCTATGTAAATTTAACATTTTGTGGGTTGATTAAATATCTTTCAAATAACTTTCTATGGTTATTCTAGCATTTATAACCTGTAACAGGATTTTTATGAATGAGTTTCCCTGTTAGTCAAACTTTAACATTTCATGTGGCATCACAACCATTTTTCTCTATAAAAAGTTACAGGCATCAGTGTGTCCCATATTTAATGCTGCAATACTTGTAATAAAACAGTTATGACCAGGAAATTATTGAAAGTGGGATGATACTCTTATGAGATTTATGTTATAAGGCTAATATTGATGATACGTCTCTTCTACTCTTAATGCGGATAAAGAATGAACTAAGTAACAGAGCATAAATGTTTCATCAAGTTGGATTCTTGGACCTTCTTCAAATAAGTAGTCACCTATTAACTCTTATCATCTAATCTTAATTCAACAGCATTAATGTTTATACAATGAAGCACCTTTCCAAGAGCAATGCATATACTTTACCTTCATGCAGATATTACCATTTCTTTAATAGCACTTCCTCTCATTTGATGAACTTATATATTAGTGTTTGCCATTGTTTTTTCAGCATAATAAAATAATATTGAATCTTTGTCATAGCTATCTTTAACCCACTACATGAGTTGGCACATGTTTTGACGTTTGTATGATGTCTTTTTCACAGGTCAAGAAGCGCCACACTCCTGTTTTGAAGGTATGCTCTTTACAACAGTCTGTATGTTATATTTTTTTTATTATCAATGATGCTTCCTCAATGTTAGGTTATGTTTGGCAAATCCAAAATAAGACAAGGCGAGACTGGTTTTGCCTTAACCAAACCAAAGTCGGTCCATGCACAGTTGGTTCCAAAGAAACAAGTAAGGGTCAAAATTTGAACTGAAAAACTGGTTCAAATCTTAGCCAATATTTGCCAAACTAAAAACTTATTTTTGGACCAAACTTGTATCCACTAAATCTGATTCTTTGGAGTTGCCAAACACATCCTTATATTTGAGAACAAAATATAAATGTGTGTTGCTACTAAGTGACATCTCTATTTTCTTACTCTAGTTAAATCTAGTTAAACTGTTACTCTCAGTCTCATGATTTTCTTACTTACCCATTCAAAAAAATTCTGTTTATAGATATGCTAGTCGTTATCCATATGCAAAATTATTCTTATTATATCATTGGTCCTATATTTTGTTTGGAACTTCGTTAGGACTTACTTGATGGTGATGTGCAGAGGTAGGACCAGGTAAGTTTCAGCGGATACAAAGTACATAGACCATTAAAGATCAGTTAGCTCAAACCACCTCTAATGGTAACCCCCAGTCTCCCACATTGCTTATTCATTTTGTTAAAATAATCCCAATTAACCCCCTTGATCCCAATTAACCCCCCTTGATCCCAATTATAATGGGTATTCTATGGATTGTCATTCGGGACCTTTTAACAATCAATTAATCAATTTTGAAAGTGGAAACTTGTAGCTGGAAATTGTTGAAATCATCCAAGAGTATTGACCAGTGCTCATTTGAATTCCCTCTATATCTAGGAGTACAAAGATAACACATTCCCAAATTCATGAATCCAACCACATTATTCTTCACATGGCTTGTGTCAAGAATTCCAAATGAGAATCCAGGTACCCAATGAAGTGATATCTCGGATATAGGACGATCAAATATCAAATGACCATGATCTCAAACTAATATGCTGTGGGTTTTCTGGACAAACATATCAACTTGTAAAGCCCAGTCGGGGGATCAAATCATATACTTGGCAATGTTTTAAATGTCGGATGCCGGGTTCATGTCGGACGGCTGAAATCCATGTCGGATAGCGGAATCAGTGATATATCGAGGGACATGGACTAAATATCGGATTGCCATATTGGGTGGTGCACATATGTATAATATCATGTTCTAAATGTGATCTAAGCATTCCTAAATTCAATATAAACATACTTTATAAATTCGCGACGCCGACGATGGGTGGATTCCGACGTCGCAAGGAGGCAGTGCCGGTGATGGGATGTCACAGGGAGGCAATACCGGAGCTCTTCTTCTTCTTCGTCTGCTCGGGGTCCTTCGGATGAGTTACCGACCACCATTTTCCCTTTATCCCGACGACGTGATACCCTGCCACCCTCAGATTCGGTTAGGGTTCGGATTTCGGGGCGCAACGGGAGATGGACGACAGGGGGCCGAGATGGAGGTGGGGGAAGGCGTCGTCGTTCACGAAAGGAGTGATCGGTTTTCAAGTCCGCTGTAGCCCTAATTTTTCTCTTTTTTTCTATCGGGTTCATAATAAACCTTTAAACATGAGAACAAGTCAAACGGGTTTGGGTTTTTATCACTAAACCCAAACTCGATAACAAAAAATGGATCTAAAAAGGGCCATATCGGCCAATTTTTTAAAGCTAAAAAATCGGCCGATATGTCTGATATGGTCCCGATATTTTTAATTTGGCCTTGAAAACTGACATACGAGTTGAAAACGCCTATGTCGTGTCGCTCAAGTCCTCAAACCGACATGTCGGCCGACATTTAAAACCTTGACTTGGGTCTGAACACTACAGATGGTAAGAGCCAAAACCATTGTTCGACGATTTTCAGCCTGAAGTTTTGACTCCTTTCCTCAAAATTAATTGTTAAATGGTCACAAGTAATAATCTTATCGAATATCCATTATAATTTGGATAAGAGGGTTCCATTAGGATTATTTTTGACTCGAAATGATTAACTAATGAGGGAGTTACCATTAGAGGTGGTTTGAGCTGTCAAAATCAAAATTTACGAAAAAAGAAAAGGTTTACTTAATCCAGTTAAACAACAAATCATGAATTCAAAAGCATTTTTAGGACAAATACATCAAACAAAACCAACTCATCCATTCATACATACACATTAACTGAAGCTAAATGCATCATGTTTATTACTCATCCAAACCATTCAACAAAATGAGATTTGAAAATCAAGAGAGGGGGATCAACATTTACATCAATAAAGAAATGTTGGTTTGAGCTGTCAAAATCAACAATTTCAAAGGGGTTTACTCAAATCCAATTAGACAACAAATCCATGAATCTAAAAACATTTTTAGGACAAATAAATCAATCAAAACCAATCCATCCATTCAAACATACGCATATTGACTGAAGATAAATGTATCACATTTATTACTCATTCAAACCATGCAACAAGATGAGATTTGTGAATCAAGAGGGGGATCAAGGAGCAAGGATGTTTGACTTAATTTGGTGGAGATCCATTGATGAAGGTGGTGTCTTTGTTTTTGAGATTCCTCTGACGCTACATTTAGATTTGAACAATCAAACAGAGGGTAGGAGGAGGTAGAGAGATAAATTGCGTAGGATTTGGGGAAAGAATAAATATTAGGAAACTTAGCTTACTTGCGTGGTATTTGGCATTCTAAGGACTTCATCTTCTAGATTTTCTCATATTTTGGTCACGGCTGCCCCTTCTTTCTCTTTTCCCTCTTTCTTCTCTTTTACATTTTCTTTCTATTTTCTCTTTCTTTTCTTTCTATTTTCCTCTCATTTCTCTGCTCCTTTAATTCTTGAGACTTAGGGTTTATGGATGAGATTTTGGCGTAAGAATCCCTTTGATAGACTCATTTTAGCCAGCCCTTCATAAATTACCAAAATGTGTTTTTCATGCAAAATAAAACTTCTTCCAAAAAATTATTAAAAATGCCTATAATTCATAAAAAATTGATGCAATCAATGTTCTAAGCCCCGTCTGGGCCTAATTCCAACTCTAGCTAGGGTACTGGTCTTTATACTCTGTCTAGTCTGAATCTGTGCACATACACGCTATATAAACGCTATATAAATATTCATGTCAGAAGTCCTGAGGCCTTGCATGAAAGCTAATATAAATTTGTAGCTTTGGGTAAATGAATATCGTTCTAGTGAAGAACTCACCAAGAGCTTTTAAAGATAAAAGGTATCGTAACTTCATAACATTTGTGTAAATTTAGCGCATGTTGGTGAGGAACTCACCAGTAGAGCATGGGATCAAATGCCGGTACTGGTAGTGAAGGTAATGAAATAACATTGATAGTTACATGAAGTAGAGTAAAACTTTTTAGTTGTTCAAGATTATTTTGATCACTATTTTAAAAAGCCTCCGCCTAGTTCGTCTAGGCGTACGCATAGACCTAGGCTGTACTTAGGCCGCCTAATTAGCACATAGCACCTAAGCCACCTAGATTTTAGGAGTGTTTAGGGGAGTTGTATGCTTACATAGACTGCACCATTTAGGCATTGATCGTTATTTTCTGTATTGCAGCCTCCATGTCCTCCAACCTCCTTCAAACTCATTTAACCTCCAAATATGAACATCTCCACTATCTCCTCCGACCTTCAGCAGAACCACCACTTAAATAAATAAATAAATCCGTCTAAACGTCAGTTCGACACCTAAGTTTTCGATAACATTGACATTTACTATCAATTATTGTATTTAAAAAATAAAAAAAATCCATAGACTCTAGGTGTCGGGTCCAACGCCTAGGCCTCTTAGCACTTTCTATAACATTGTTAGTTATTATTTTAGCTATTTAATATTTAAGTATACATGGTTTATTGTGGATCTAAGATTGCTATCTTTTTTTGTAAATTTATATGAACTTAATACATTTTTTATTAATTATAATAATTAAATAATTTTAAAAATAGGCGTATGCCTAGACGCCGCCTAGGCGTACGCCTAAATGTCTAGGCGCTGGCTCAAACGCCTAGTCCGTCTAGCGCCTTCTGTAACATTGGTTTTGATATTGAATTAAACTAATAGGAGCAGACGAAGCCTATGAGTTTCTTTTACCCAAAAAAGAGAATTTCATGTTATATATATAATGCTACTAGAGTGAAATAGTGGGAGAAAGGTTGGAATATGTTGTTAAATGATTCAACATGAAGTTTATTGATTATTTGATGACAGACAAGTAGGGGTGCCAAACGGTTCGGATATATCCGAACTGATCCGCATCCGTAACTGAACGGATGCAGATATGGTCAGCTAATTTTGAAACTGAGCGGATACGGTAATGGATACGGATCTCATTTCGGATTTTTTCACCCGTAACCGCTAACCCAAACATGTAAGCCTGTAACCCTAGCATCCCTCCATCCCATTCCATTCCGCCTCCAGCCCCCACTCAATTTTCCAGCCTCCTTCCACTCAAATTCGTCAGATCCTCGTCTTTGTCGTCTTCGTCGTTCGCCTTTCGTCATCTTCTCTGTCGGATCTGGCCGTCGGATCTGACCTTCTCTTGTCCAAGCGTCGTCTTTGTCGTCAGATCCTCGCCTTGTCTCGTCCAAGCATCGTTTTCGTCGAATCTGGCCGTAGGATCCAACCGTTGTCTTCGTCGTTCGCCATTCGCCTGCGTTCGCCTCAATATTACTTCACAGGAAAAGACGGTTCATTTACCAATTACCATATTATTTACCATATGATTTGGACTCGGAAGCCGACAATAAGGTATGACTCAATATCAAAATTTTCATAATTAAACGTCCAATAAAGAAAGTTACTTTAACTTGACATTAATCCTTATTTCGCTTATTAATTTGTAAGAGGGTGATACATGCAAAGGATTAGATCAGTTTATTATGTTTTGTTTGTACATCTGAGGCCATGGATCCTAATATTAAGCAACTTGATAACTTTAAAAATATAAAAGTCCAATACAAAGTGGTTGTTTTCAAATGAACTACGAAAAAAACGTATTTGAAAACAACCACTTTGTTTTCAAATGAACTACGAAAAAAACGTACTGAAACTAATATTTCCTTGGATTAATTATTGTTGTATATACATGTTTGCTATTTCTCCAAACTTATATTGGTAGAATCTAGACAGAAGTGTTACAGGTTTTCATATTCAGAGAAACTTAATTAGATAGAAGAATGACTGGCTATTGTACATTGTCATATCGTATTTTCAATTTCAAGTTGATAACTAGTTATGAAAACTTAGATAACTCTTCCTTTCAAGTGAACACGATATCTATGAGAAAAGGCATTGATCGCAATGATGATGAGCTGAGTGTTTTCTCTGTATAGGAGCTTTTGCGAAACAACAAGAACTCTATGCTTCTATAAAGAATGTTTGAGCATGTCTCTGCAGTTAATAATAGCTTTATGTCCAATTACAAGTCAGTGTTATCATAAACATTTTCCCTACATTTATTGAACATTGCCCTTCATATGCAAACTACACCTCAGCGTACCAGTAACGCAATATGCTGTTATACATTTGTTTATCCACGTGTAAAATATCATTTACAACCACATACATTTACCTATTTGGTTGTAATTTATGCATAGGTGTACTAATTTATATCCATTTGTCGAATATCCGTTTATATCTGTGATCATATCTGATCCGATTCTCAAATATCCGAACCGTATCCGTTACCGATAAGTGCGGATATGGTTAAGGTTTTTTGTTACCGAAGATTATCCGTATCCGTTTATAAAAAGCAGATATGGATATGGTAAGTGTCATATCCGAACCGTATCCGCTCCGATAACACCCCTACAGGTAAGACGTTTTGATTAAACTGTGAATATGGTCGCGTAAGTTTTTCTAGGAATAACAATGCAGAATATTGATACGGATGAAAATTTTGAAGCTTAAATAAATTGATGTTTTGCTTGTTCCAGAGGCATTCCTTGCAATAATTTATTGGGTTAAGTTTTTAAGGTGCTCTCTTCTTCTTTTTTTATTCTAGCTCGTATACCTATTGCTCCAAGGTGGCATCAGTGCAATTTGTCACTGTTGAAACACCCCAATGAATATTCATTAAGATTCATGTTACATAGATCAATTAAGTTTTAAGTCAGCTGTTATTTATCTAAAATCATTCTCCTTTAGCCTGACATTGGAAAGGCAGAGGCAAGATAGACATTGAGCACATATTGACAGAATTTATTCTCTGTCATATAAATTGATAAATTGATTTGTAGTTCCATAGTTCTTGTGTGGATAATATTACCTTCTATGGCGAATATTGTCCAAAAGTACGGAGTTTTTCAGGCTCATATTAATGAATGTATTATTGGCATAACATTCAATATGGAGAAATCTTTAGTACCTTTATTTCAGTGTGGACTCGTCTATCTTTGCAGTTTAGCACATTCCTTCTTGTTTTTGTGTCCTCATGTAACAACATCTACTACAAGGAGTATAGATTTTACCAAAACATCCACATTCAATAGTATAATCTATACTATCCCACGAGTGAAGAGTTAGTCTGAAAGTTTCAACTGTTTTGTTCGCGGTGCAAACCACGCCCTCCTAGAGGGATTGTCATGTTAGGGTTTGCATTTCGTGTTAGCGTGCTTACTGCATACGTGCATCCTAATATGTTTACAACATGCCTGTTCTAAACGTTGTTCTATACGGCTCACGTTTGGGAGGAAACATTTGCCGCTGGGCACATTTTTCTGTGTTTCCCGGAATTACGTTTATGCCATTTGTGAGGTTGTGGATGGGATAGTTGCAGTTTGAGGGAACAAAATCTACCTTAGAATCTTGCTTTTTATGGGAAGCTGATGAAGGGTTCTTTTTGCTAGTTCAAGATCTCGTATTTCCAACTCTAATTTCAAAATCTGAAATATCTGTTTCATGCATGACAGTTGATCCTTGAACAATTTGAGACTGTTTCAAGCGGAATGAAATCGAGTGACTCGGTCATTGGAAGCTCTTAATTATTAATCTAATTTGTCAATCAAATACAGTAAAGGTCTTAGTATTGAATCTGTTGACCCTAGAGTCCAGTCTCCTAAGCTATTCGACGGTGGCATCCAGTATTCCCCCATGTTTCAATGCATTTTTGCTTGTGATAGATCCTCGAAAGATTGAGTTTTTGCTGCTTCAAAATTTTCACTAAAGTTTAACAACTGTGTATTAGCGGATGATATCTTTATTAGAGTTAAATGTCCTACTTCAATTAACTCTCTCAAGTTCTATGTGGAAGTTTTCCTTATATTTCTTTCTCATTCGGTAATTGTAAACTGCTTGGATATAAATTTGTAATTAAGCATTCAGCTAATCACCCAGTTTAAATTTTGTGATCATGCAGGTGAAAGCATATGCAGACAATTTCAAGTGGAAGGCCCCCCCAAAAGCTGAGCAAGCTTAGGCCTTTCCCTCCAAAAGCATTCGCCAATCTTCAAGTTCCCATGTTGTTTCAATAACCATCTGTGTCTTTTCAATTTGCTCATCTAAAACCTAATGCATGCATGTCCAAATCACAGATCAAGCTGGACTTATTCAATAAAATATAATTGAACACATTACTATTCTCTTTAGATTTACTCTAGTGACATTATCTTCTCCGGCTAGCTGGTTCTAGTTATTATTTACATATAAGTACAACACAGGAGAAAAAGTAAGAAGAGAGGGGCTTAAGCTTTGCAGTTGGTTTCAAAAGCCCCGGCGGTGTGGATCCGCCAAGTGAACAAGTAGTCCTCAGAATCACAGTAGAGTCTGATCACATCACACGGGGCATCGACAAAGCTCTTCTTCCCATTGCATGCCCATTCGATCTTCACCCTGCAAGAAAAGCCATCAGCTGCCACCGGAATCTCCGAAGACTCGGATAGCTCAAGCATCACCTCTCCATTGATCCTCCTCGACGAAGCCCCTGCCCTGGTCGTCTTCAACCCAAGCCCTCCGCTCGTTGACACCATGG